AGAACCGAGGGGGGAGCAGGACGGCCCAGCCACGGCAATGCCCTCGCACGGGGTCTCGCCCAGCCCACCGCGGCAGCACGGCACAGCGCCCATCACCGGGAACCCGCTACCCCCCCGGCCCCGATGGCCACGCCACCAAGTTCAGAGATGATTTGCGCCGGTGTAATCACAGGCTGAGTGCCCCACGCCGCTGGATTACAAACACGAGCAGAGCAGAGACCTCTGCGCTAAATCCCACCACCACCAGCGGGAGAAAATCCTATTTGGATAACGGGATTGCAGGCACGAGATTACCAGCGCTTTGCTCAGCGCACCGGCGGGGAGCAGCAGGGGCTGCGCAGCGGGCAGGGCGTCCGTCCGTCCGTCCCACACCAACCACAGCACGAGGCACCGGCACCGCTGCCCTGGCGCAAAGCCACACTGTCACCAAATGTGCCCTTTGAGACGGCTGCAGGAGGGAGGTTTCCTGGAGCGAAGGCTGCAGAGTGCTGCAGGGAGCAGGCTTGCTCCGAGTCTCGGTAAACCCAACGTCGGACGCAGCTCACGTGCCGTGCCGGCGAGGGGAGGACTCCAGGACCAGGCAGGGGTTCAGCCCGGCTCGCGGCTCAGCTAACGTGGAGGGGTCAGAAATACCAAATTTGGGTACAGATGTAGGAAAACTGGGACCAACTGGAGAAAGTAACTCAGGGCAGGTTATTTATTTGGGAGGGAACAGGGATGGAGAAAGGAGGGTGGGGAAAAAGACGGTGAAGGCGTGAGAAAAGGGACGGCAAGGAGTGATGTGGCCGGGCACGTCCAGTGGTACCGGACAGGCTGCGCTGGGCTTCATCACCGCAGCCCCAACGAGGGTGACCACCCCACCCTGCTGCTCTGATGACACCCCGGGGAGGATGGGGGTGCTGCTGGCTAAGGGACGGACTGAGCATCCCGGTGACGTCGGCACCGTCCACCCCTCCCTAAGAGCGGGCTGAGCCGGTGACAGCCCAGGGTGACGGGGCACCGGGGAGCTGCCGGAGAACAGAGATCCCGTGTTCCTCTCGGCCGCGCCGAAAGCCAGCCGGGGTCGGGCTGTGCCGCAGGACGGGGAACGGCTGCCGGGACAGG